GATGACATAACGATGTTTCCTTTTTTCAAAACCTGAAAGCTGGACCTGGGCTTAGATTTTCGCCATAACAAGACAAACAGCTTACCACTATGTCATAAGTAAAAGACAAAACATTAAAGAAGTTCAGTTCCTGAAACTGCTTTTACCCGCAAGCTTGCCATCAACTTCTATGCATTTGCAAAGAAAACATTATATGGTGGTAGCTTCCTGAGGGCTGATAGTTGGTATTATTAAGAGAAACGATTACGCTTTTTTTCAGAGAAGTGTGGTGTGACATTGTACCTTTAAACATTGAATGTTTTCTGTTGCACTGGATTAAAACAATGTCAAAAATTTGCAAGAAATTCAAATCGACATGAAGGGAAACAGTAATATATGACAACTGTACAGTCTGGTTTTAATGCCACTGGTCATCACGCGGAATACAGATATAATATCATCTGTTGAGTGGAAAAGGATTCTCAGCACTATTGACTGACCTTTCCCAAAAATGCCAACCTGGATTATAATGCTTTTTTTCCTGACAAATGATGAAATCTCATCTTAGATACATTTTACAAATATGGAAGAACCGTGGACCAATTATGCCTCATGGAGGAGCTTAATATGGCATAATAAGCCTGGGGCAGACCTGAACCAGTGACTGAGACCATGGCCAGGAATGCAATCTTGCTTTCGCCTCTACTAAGCTAAACAAGACCTGAGGACATCTCAGAAGTCGCCATCAGCTAATTACAAAGTAGCATTCTTGAGATACATGGCTTACATCCAGTTTGAAAACACATTTAACAAAGTTCTTGATTCAAAACTCTAAAACTGGGACCAAGGAATATTCTGATATATCAGATGGCCGAGACGGAATGGATTTTAATGAGACTAAAATGTTGACCGTTTGGGGTGATATGATACAGCTACTGGCCCAATAAGTTTCCAATTCATCCAACTACAAATCCTAGCTATCTGGGCATGCTGATACAGATGTATCCAAGAGTTTGACCATCCAATCCATGATCCAGCTATTATCTGGGCATGATGATACAGGATGTATCCAATAGTTTGACCATCCAACTCCCACGCATTCAGCTATCTGGGTATGATGATAAGATGTATCCAATAGTTTGACCATCCAATCCACAATCCAGCTATCTGGGTATGATGATACAGGATGTATCCATAATAGTTTGACCATCCAAATCCTTATTTTATCTAGCTTATCTGGGGTATGAATACTAGATGTATCCAATAGTTTGACCATCCAACTTCCACGATCCAGCTATCTCGCATGATGATACAGATGCATCCAAGAGTTTGACCAACCAATCCACAATCTAACCTTTCTCTATCGGATTTCCATGCTTTAAAAATACAGGTAACGTGAATAAATATGTAACAAAACAATCCCTCTCCCCCATTAGTGTGCCATGATTAAACAACAGTGATATATATCTGTAAAGATATATATACATCAGCCTTCCGTACAACTGGTAACCTTGCATTACCATGTACGATAGCCAGCTTCCATTACGAGGAATCCGGATCATGCTGCCCCGTGAGTGCCTGGAATCAAAGAAAAGAAAATATAATGTGCTGAATGTTTGCCACATATGGTCACGGTAGACAAAATGGTCTCTGCTACATGCTGTATATTGAGGCAAATGTTCTGCTAATGTTCTGTTATACAGTGTGTATCATGAGGTGTAAATGTTCTTGCTACACAATGTAACCACATGTTCCGCTTACAGTGTATAATGAGGACAATGTCTCTGGCTGGGCTACCACCGTATGAGGTAACGTTCTGCATACACACTGCATAATGAGAATGTTCTGGGTTACAATGTATAATGAGAATGTTCTGCCACACACCGTATGAGAGAACAAGTTCTGCCATGGTAAATGTATAATGAGTGAATGTTCTGCTACACACTGTACAATGAGAATGTTCCGCCAATACACCGTGCCAATGAGAATGTTCTGCCGCTAATAACTGAATAAATGAGGTAAAATGTCCTGGTTACACAAGTGTATCATGAGGGTAAATGTTCTGCTACTATCAACGTGTAATGACATGTTCCGCTTTACAATGTATTTCGAGAATGTCTCTGCCATACACCAAAGTGCATCGAGAATGTTCTGCTGAAACACCGTATAATGAGAATGTCTCCGCTACACACGGCATAATGAGAATGTTCTGTTATACACTTGTATAATGAGGTAAACAAGTTCTGCCATACACCATATAATGAGGTAAAATGTTCTTGCTAAACACTGAAAGGTGAGAATCGCCAGCTAATAATTGCTCTAACTGACTCACCTGGATTTATTTTACGCCATTTCGTGCAACATTCCAGCAAACATCAATGCAAGCAGGCCACCTCATGTATAATGAGAGGAATGTTCTGCCACACACCGTATAATGAGAATGTTTTGCTACACACACCGTTTAATGAGAATGTTCCGCAAACACACTGTATAATGAGGGTAAAATGTTCTGCTACACATTGTATACCGAGAATGTTCCTGCTAAACACTGTATAAATGGTAACGTTCTGTCATTACATTGTATAATGAGGTAAATGTTCTGCCACTAGCCAATGTGTAATGAGAATGTTCTAAGCCACACACTGCATAATGATGAATGTTCTCGCTAAAACACTGTATAATGAGAATGTTCTACAATGCACTGTACAATGAGAATGTCTCTTGCCAAACACTGTATAAATGAGAATGTTCTTGCAAGGCACTGTAGCAACGAGAATGTCTCATACTGCACCTAATTGTATGTGGGTCAGTGTCAAGGTTAAGGTTTACAGTGTATCATGAGGGGTAAATGTTCTGCCACACAATGTGTACTGAGAATGTTCTTGCTGCACACTGTATAATGACAATGTTCTCAAGCAAACACTGTGATAATGAGAATGTTCTCATAAACACTGTATAATGAGAATGTTCTGGCTAAACACTGTATAATGAGAATGTTCTGCTAAACATTGCATAATGAGAATGTTCGCCACACACCGTATGAGAACGTTCTGCCACACACTGGTATGAGGTCGGCCCTACTAAACACTGTATGAGAACGTTCCCATGCCACACACTGTATAACGAGAATGTTCTGCTAAACACTGCATGGAGAATGTTCTCTGCTACACACTGTATAATGAGGTAATGTTCTGTTATACAGTGCATCATGAGGTAGTAAATATTCTGCTACACAATGTGTAAATGACATGTTCCTCGGCTACAGTGTATAAATGAGGAGAATGTCTCTCATAAACACTGTATAATGAGAATGTTCTACCAAACACTGTATGTTTATAGAACAAGTCTCTGCTAAACACTGTATAATGAGAAATGCCCCTGCCAAACACTGTATAATGAGAATGTTCTTGCTACACACTGTATGAGAAATGTTCTGCTACTAATAACTGTATAATGAGGTCATGTTCTGTTATACAAGTGTATCATGAGATAACCGTTCTACAAGGCTAGGTACACAAATGTAATGAGAATGTTCTGCCACACACTGTATAATGAGAATGTTCTGCTAAACACTGTATAATGAGAATGTTCTGCTAAACACTCGTATAATGAGAATGTTCTGCCAAACACTGTATAATGAGAATGTTCTGCTACACACTGTATGAGAATGTTCTGCATAAAACACTGTATAATGAGAATGTTGCTACACACCGTATAATGAGAATGTTCTGCTACACACTGTATGAGAATGTTCTGCTAAACACTGTATAATGAGAGAATGTTCTGCTACAATGTATAATGAGAATGTTCTGCTTAAACACTGTATAATGAGAATTGTTCTGTTACACACTGTATAATGAGGTAAATGTTCTGCTACACACTGTATGAGAATGTTCTGCTAAACACTGTATAATGAGAATGTTCTGCTACACACTGTTTAATGAGAATGTTCTGCAAACACACTGTATAATGAGGTAAAATGTTCTGCTACTACACACTGTATAATGAGGAGAATGTTCTGCTGAACACTGTATAATGAGAATGTTCTGCTACACACGGTATAATGAGAATGTTCTGTTATACACTGTATAATGAGGTAAATGTTCTGCTACACACCATATAATGAGGTAAATGTTCTGCTAAACACTGAAAGGTGAGAATGTTGTGCTACACACTGTTTAACTGACTGACTGAGTTTGGTTTTACGCCATTTTCAGCAATATTCCAGCAACATCACGGCAGGGGACACCAGAAATGGGCTTCATTAATATTGTACCCATGTGGGGATTCGAACCCGGTCTCCGGCGCGACGAGCTAACGCTTTGACCACTAGGCTACCCCAACGCCTCCACACTGTTTAATGAGAATGTTCTGCAAACACACTGTATAATGAGGTAAATGTTCTGCTACACACTGTATAATGAGGGAGAATGTTCTGCTGAACACTGTATAATGAGAATGTTCTGCTACACACGGTATAATGAGAATGTTCTGTTATACACTGTATAATGAGGTAAAATGTTCTGCTACACACCATAATGAGGGTAAATGTTCTGCTAAACACTGAAAGGTGAGAATGTTGTGCTACACACTGCTTTAACTGACTGGACTGAGTTTGGTTTTACGCAGCCAGCAATATTCCAGCAACATCACGGCAGGGGACATCAGAAATGGGCTTCACACATTGTACCCATGTGGGGATTCAACCCGGCTTCGGGCGCGGACGAGCTAACTTTTGACCACTAGGCTACCCCACTGCACCCCACACTGTTTAATGAGAATGTTCTGCAAACACACTGTATAATGAGGTAAATGTTCTGCTACACACTAATGAATATAGTGAGGTTCTGTGACAGTGTGTATAATGAGGAGAATGTTCTGCTACACAGTATAGAATGGATAAATGTTAAGCAACAAAGTACATAATGAGTAAATGTTTGTATACAGTTTATCATGAGAGCAATGTTCTGCTCCAGAGTTTCATGAGAAAATATGTCATTGTGACATTGGTAAGGACTCACTCTTCTTGCAAACTCTGGGAGCACAAATGCTGCTTTATGGATTTGCAGTGTTGTAATACTTGAGTTTCAGCTTCTCACCCTGCTCTTGGCTCAAAGCATTGATTGGGTCCTCAAAGTTCAATATCCTGGCAATAACAATCAGATCAATTCAACAAATAAAACAAATTATGCCTCAGATAATGGTGAGATGAGAGGTGGATTGGTGTTCAGCATCCCGCTTAAGATCCATGTACTTATACACTGATGCATGATGGTGCATGTGTCTGTGGCTGTTTTGGGCCAGTTGACTAATATGAGGCTTGCACTGGTGTTAACTGAAAATGTAAATGCAACACTATATTTACATCAACTTTTCTCACAAAGTGCATGAAAATATGTCAGGAACTGGTTTGGAGCAGTCACTCTGATAACTACACAGAAAGTGATTGAATGATCTCAGTTGTAAGTTGTTATTGTGATATTGATTCAGACTTACTGGGTTCAGACTGCACAACACAAAGCCAATCTGGCCACTAGGATAGGTTGGTATCGGGTGGGTATAACTGTAGCTGACAGAGGGTAGATGGTCTTACAAAAAGTCCAGCATATTCGGATGAGATCCAAATGAAGCCACACACACTCTCCTGCAATCAGAGATTAGCTAACAGATGTCATGATTTTGCTGGAATACATATCATAGTTCATGTGAAGGACATAAAATGTCTGAGTCCCGTGCTGAGATTCGAACCACTTAACCTTCTAATCCGAAGTCGGATGCCTTGTCCACATGACCAAAGAGAGTTAACCCTGTCAGCAAGCTGACAAGGTAAGGATGTCATCAGTGGGATGACTCCACGCCTGCTACATACTCGGCCAACAGAAGGCACGCCCCAAGCCGAGATAGTTGGGTACAGAGACTTTGCTCAAATTTGATATGAACGTGCTCAGCCCCACGCTACCAACCACTTTAACCTTCTAATCTGAAGTCGGACGCCTTGTCGCCTATGGTCACGAGACAAACATTGTCGCCTCTCACGACAAGCATGGGTTACTGAGGATCAATATTCAAACCCGGACCTTCATTGGTCGCAGAAGAGAGGACTCACCTTGACTACATAAGATGCCGACTGGTCTGAGGGCCTTCTTCATCAGTTCATAGTAGGACTTCTCAAACAGTGATGATGCAGGGCCTGAAACATGACCTGCATTGTGAACACACAACCATAGTTGCCACTTCCACCTCCTTGCCACAGCACAGCAGCAATACATCTACTACAGCGCAGCCACAGCAGCAATACATCTACTACAGCACAGCCACAGCAGCAATACATCTACTACAGCACACCCACAGCAGCAATACATCTACTACAGAGCAGCCACAGCAGCAATACATCTACTACAGCACAGCTACAGCAGCAATACATCTACTACAGCACAGCCACAGCAGCAATACATCTACTACAGAGCAGCCACAGCAGCAATACATCTACTACAGAGCAGCCACAGCAGCAATACATCTACTACAGCACACCCACAGCAGCAATACATCTACTACAGAGCAGCCACAGCAGCAATACATCTACTACAGCACAGCTACAGCAGCAATACATCTACTACAGCACAGCCACAGCAGCAATACATCTACTTCACAGAGCAGCCACAGCAGCAATACATCTATACTACACAGCCACAGCAGCAATACATCTACTACAGCACAGCCACAGCAGCAATACATCTACTACAGCACAGCCACAGCAGCAATACATCTACTACAGAGCAGCCACAGCAGCAATACATCTACTACAGAGCAGCCACAGCAGCAATACATCTACTACAGCACACCCACAGCAGCAATACATCTACTACAGAGCAGCCACAGCAGCAATACATCTACTACAGCACACCCACAGCAGCAATACATCTACAACAGCACAGCCACAGCAGCAATACATCTACTACAGCACAGCTACAGCAGCAATACATCTACTACAGCACACCCACAGCAGCAATACATCTACAGCACACCCACAGCAGCAATACATCTACTACAGCACAGCCACAGCAGCAATACATCTACTACAGCGCAGCCACAGCAGCAATACATCTACTACAGCACAGCCACAGCAGCAATACATCTACTACAGCACACCCACAGCAGCAATACATCTACTACAGCACACCCACAGCAGCAATACATCTACTACAGCACAGCAGCAATAAATTTACTACAGCACAGCCACAGCAGCAATACATTTACTACAGCACAGCAGCAATAAATTTACTACAGCACAGCCATAGCAGCAATACATCTACTACACCACAGCCACAGCAGCCATATATCTACTACAGCACAGCCACAGCAGCAATACATCTACTACAGCACAGCCACAGCAGCAATACATCTACTACAGCACACCCACAGCAGCAATACATCTACTACAGCACACCCACAGCATCTAAACATCTACTATGCCAACAGCAGCAATACATCTACTACAGCACAGCCACAGCAGCAATACATCTACTACAGCACAGCCACAGCAGCAATACATCTACTACAGCACAGCCACAGCAGCAATACATCTACTACAGCACAGCCACAGCAGCAATACATCTACTACAGCACAGCCACAGCAGCAATACATCTACTACAGCACAGCCACAGCAGCAATACATCTACTACAGCACAGCCACAGCAGCAATACATCTACTACAGCACAGCCACAGCAGCAATACATCTACTACAGCACAGCTACAGCAGCAATACATCTACTACAGAGCAGCCACAGCAGCAATACATCTACTACAGCACAGCCACAGCAGCAATACATCTACTACAGCACACCCACAGCATCTAAACATCTACAACAGCACAGCCACAGCAGCAATACATCTACTACAGCACAGCCACAGCAGCAATACATCTACAACAGCACAGCCACAGCAGCAATACATCTACTACAGAGCAGCCACAGCAGCAATACATCTACAACAGCACAGCCACAGCAGCAATACATTTACTACAGCACAGCAGCAATAAATTTACTACAGCACAGCCACAGCAGCAATACATCTACTACACCACAGCCACAGCAGCAATACATCTACTACACCACAGCCACAGCAGCAATACATCTACTACAGCACAGCCACAGCAGCAATACATTTACTACAGCACACCCACAGCAGCAATACATCTACTACAGCACAGCCACAGCAGCAATACATCTACTACAGAGCAGCCACAGCAGCAATACATCTACTACAGCACAGCAGCAATAAATTTACTACAGCACAGGCACAGCAGCAATACATCTACTACACCACAGCCACAGCAGCAATACATCTACAACAGCACAGCCACAGCAGCAATACATCTACTACAGCACAGCCACAGCAGCAATACATCTACTACAGCACAGCCACAGCAGCAATACATCTACTACAGCACAGCCACAGCAGCAATACATCTACTACAGCACACCCACAGCAGCAATACATCTACAGCACACCCACAGCAGCAATACATCTACTACAGCACAGCCACAGCATCTAAACATCTACTATGCCAACAGCAGCAATACATCTACTACAGCACAGCCACAGCAGCAATACATCTACTACAGCACAGCTACAGCAGCAATAAATCTACTACAGCACACCCACAGCAGCAATACATCTACAGCACACCCACAGCAGCAATACATCTACTACAGCACACCCACAGCATCTAAACATCTACTATGCCAACAGCAGCAATACATCTACTACAGCACAGCCACAGCAGCAACCATCTACTACAGCACACCCACAGCATCTAAACATCTACTATGCCAACAGCAGCAATACATCTACTACAGCACAGCCACAGCAGCAATGCATCTACTACAGCACAGCCACAGCAGCAACCATCTACTACAGCACACCCACAGCAGCAATACATCTACTACAGCACACCCACAGCAGCAATACATCTACTACAGCACACCCACAGCAGCAATACATCTACTACAGCACAGCCACAGCAGCAATACATCTACTACAGCACACCCACAGCAGCAATACATCTACTACAGCACACCCACAGCAGCAATACATCTACTACAGCACAGCCACAGCAGCAATACATCTACTACAGCACAGCCACAGCAGCAATACATCTACTACAGCACACCCACAGCAGCAATACATCTACAGCACACCCACAGCAGCAATACATCTACTACAGCACACCCACAGCATCTAAACATCTGCATTATGCCAACAGCAGCAATACATCTACTACAGCACAGCCACAGCAGCAACCATCTACTACAGCACACCCACAGCATCTAAACATCTACTATGCCAACAGCAGCAATACATCTACTACAGCACAGCCACAGCAGCAACCATCTACTACAGCACACCCACAGCAGCAATACATCTACTACAGCACACCCACAGCAGCAATACATCTACTACAGCACAGCCACAGCAGCAATACATCTACTACAGCACAGCCACAGCAGCAATACATCTACTACAGCACAGCCACAGCAGCAATACATCTACTACAGCACACCCACAGCAGCAATGCATCTACTACAGCACAGCCACAGCAGCAACCATCTACTACAGCACACCCACAGCATCTAAACATCTACTATGCCAACAGCAGCAATACATCTACTACAGCACAGCCACAGCAGCAACCATCTACTACAGCACACCCACAGCATCTAAACATCTACTATGCCAACAGCAGCAATACATCTACTACAGCACAGCTACAGCAGCAATACATCTACTACAACACAGCTACAGCAGAAATACATCTACTACAGCACAGCCACAGCTTCTAAACATCTACTATGCCAACAGCAGCAATACATCTACTACAGCACAGCCACAGCAGCAACCATCTACTACAGCACACCCACAGCATCTAAACATCTACTATGCCAACAGCAGCAATACATCTACTACAGCACAGCTACAGCAGCAATACATCTACTACAACACAGCTACAGCAGAAATACATCTACTACAGCACAGCCACAGCTTCTAAACATATACTATGCCAACAGCAGCAATACATCTGTTACAGCATGATGCTAACCAACAAACACATAAACTAAAAAGCAACATTGTGCCACGTCTGGTGACCAGTGCAGTGGTGTTCAAGCAGAGAAGGTGATCCTGCATGACTGATGGATTGATTCATTGTTTTATGCCTCACTCAGCAATATCCCAGCCATATGGCGGCGGTCTGTAAATAATCGTGTCTGGACCAGACAATCCAGTGATTAGCATTATGAGCATCGATCTACGCAATTATGTTATGATGACTTGTGTCAACCACGTCAGTAAACCTGACCACCCGATCCTGTTAGTCGCCTCTTACGACAAGCATGGGTAGCTGACAATTCTTATCCGGATATTCCCGGGTGATTCTGCATGATTGTAAGATGTGTTAGACAGAATATAGCTACAACCTGCCATCATGGGAAAATGTCCCCAAGTGAGTGAGTGAGTTTAGTTTTACGCTGATTTTAGCGATATTCCAGCAATATCACAGCAGGGAACACCTACAATGGGGTTCACACATTGTGCCAATGAAAGGGAATCGAACCCAGGTCTCCGGCGCGACGAGCTAACATTTTAACCACTAGGCTATCCCACCGCCCCTTAATGTCCCAAAGATATCACTTCATCCCAGGCAATACCCGCAACACTCAGAGCTACTGCCAACTACACTGTGTCTCACCTATAGGATCGCTGGAGTCAGTGATGATGACATCAAACTCTCCATGGTGTTTGCCCATGAAGTCGAAGCCATCATGGATATGGAGATTCAAGCGGGGATTAGCAAAGCTGCTTGACATCTCAGGTAAATATTCTTTACTTACTTCTATAACTTTCTGAAAAACAATGTGATGTCAAGTGATTTGTTGCAAGAATTTGATGTCCACCATCATCAGTATTTTATCTTTGTCACAGTCACCTGTATTACCCATGTCTCAACAGCTTAATATTACCCATTTCAACAAGAGTCATCAGAGGATGACATATCCCACCCGCCCCCACATATTTGAAAGAACAAATCATCTGACAGTTACTTAAACTAAGTCCTAATCGTTTCCATGGAAATCATGAGAAATGTAAATGCCAAAAGTCTGTAAATAGCAAAAGGAACCATTTCAAAATTTGCCTAATATATCTGCCAAGTTCTGTTGAAAGATACTGAACGCTTTTTGAGTTATGCACAGGAAATGAAGCCCACCCCTCCCTTTTGGGACTAAGTCCTAACCGTTTCCATGGAAACCAGGAAAGATAAATCTGCCAAAAAATCTGCCAAATAGCAAAAGGCACCACTCTGGCATCTGCCTCACATATCTGCCAAGTTTTGCTGACAGATATTAAGAAGTTTTCCAGTTGTGCTCAAGAAACGAAACCCACCCCTCCCTTTTTGGGACCAGAGCCGAATCGTTTCCATGGAAACCGGGGAAAATAAAAATGTTCAAAAGTCTGTAAATAGCAAAAGGAACCATTTCAAAATTTGCCTAATATATCTGCCAAGTTCTGTTGAAAGATACTGAACGGTTTTCGAGTTATGCTCCGGAAACGAAGCCCACCCCTCCCTTTCGGGACTAAGTCCAAATTGTTTCCATGGAAACCGGGAAAAATAAAAATGCCCAAAATCTGCAAATAGCAAAAGGCACCCCTTAAGGATCTGTTTGATATATCTACCAATTTTGGTTGAAAAATATTGAACATTTTTTTAGTTATGCTCTGGAAACAATGATTACGGATGGACGGACAGACAGACGGACGAGATGTCGACTATATCCCCCGCATTACATGTCGGGGGGATAGTTATTCTGTCAACATGTTATCAAATGCATCAGGAAAAGAATTTCTGTTTGGCTCTCTTTTGAAGAAGAGAATGGAAACACTGTTTAGACTCGGACATGAAAAATATTCTTTTGATCTCAAACACATTGTGTCAACTCAAGGTCCTGTATCTCTTGGAAATGCACAAGCGAACATGCTAACGTCATTGGTCTCACACACGTCACTTGTCTGCACATCGGGGTCTGTCCATTACACAGATATACACAAGTGGACATGCTTACCTCATCGATCTCACACATGTCAACTCTCTCGACCTCAGGGTGTTTCAGGACCTCACGGGCCACTCCCCCATCACCACCCCCGATGATCAACACCTGAAGAAAGTTTAACAAATATGTCATATATTGTCATCGCTATAAATCTATGATATTGACATTATTACTGGATTGCCACAACCACACAGGAGAAATGTACAAAGTTCATTTGAAATAACTTACCAAGAAATCATCCCATTGTTATACATATACGCTTTTCAATCTTTTTCAACATAATAGTTTGTTTATTTGTTGCAGCAGTCAACTATAAGACAGCACCCTAAGGAAAATAAAATCAGGAGCAGATGATCCAATGATTGACTGACTGACTGAGTTTGGTTTTACGCCACTTTCAGCAATATTCCAGCAATATCACGGCAGGGGGCACCAGAAATGGGCTTCACTCATTGCACCCATGTGGGGATTCGAACCCGGGTCTTCGGCGTGACGAGCCAACGCTTTAACCACTAGACTACCCCACCGCCCCTCCAATGATTGATATCAAGAGAAATGATTTATAGGCAGAGTCTAATGAGAGGAAATAAATAATACCATTTAGTCTGACTGGATGATCTGGTGACCTCTTACAATGAGAATAGGCTGCTCGGGATCAGTTCCAACAGGAACAACACAGGGAACAGCAAGTTTTTTTGTTGTCTAATGCCATACTCAAGAGACAAATGAAGATCTGGGTTAGAATTGGTCTTCAGTAACCCATGCTTTAAGAGGCGACTAACGGGATCGGGTGGTCAGCCTCGCTGACTTGGTTGACACATGCCATTATATCCCAATTGCGTAGAAGCGATGCTCATGATGTTGATCACTGGATTGTCTGGTCCAGACTAAATTATTACAGACTGCCGCCATAAAGCTGTAATATTACGGAGTGAATCTTTAAACAACAAACCAATCAACCATACTCAAGCTCAGGTTTCTGATATCGAGAGAATAAATCAGCAGAACTTTTCATTTTTTGACATGATCACCCTACCAACCAATGCAGGGCTTGATTTAAGTGATGTTAACCTACTTGCACCTGGTGCAATCTAAGATAACAAGAGTCACCAGAAGATGACAAATCTCCCCGGCCCCCATAAATTTGAAAGAACAAATCAACTGAGTTACTAGTACTCAAAATCCAACTTGATTTTTTTTTTACTAGGTCCAAATTGTTTCCACGGAAATCATTAAAAAAAATGACAAAAATCTGCAAATAGCAAAAGGCAGTACTTCAAGATCTGTTTGATATATCTGTCAAGTCTTGCAGAAAGATATTGAACTGTATTCGAGTTGTCCTTCGGGGGTTTGGTGGTTAAAAACCTAGTTGCACCAGCCAAATTCCAGTTGCACTCTTTTTATTGCAATGTGTAATGAAAGAGATATGCTCTTGCATTATTTAGAAAATTTAAATGTTTTATTCAGAAGTTTATCCACTCAAACATTTACTTGCACCTGGTGCAAGTTAGGATAATAACTAGGTTGCACTTTTGTAGTATTGGGTTGCACCAGTGCAACTAACAAAGCACTAAATCGAGCCCTGCAAAGCTGCATGTCCTCTCTTAAGTGTCCAGGGTTGAGATAAACCAAGGACTTACTTTCTTTGGATTTGGGTGGCAACACAGAGGTAAATGTGCAAGCATTTCCTGATATGAAAACTCGTCTCTCTCTGTAGCCTGTATCACACCATCCAGGACCAGGACGTTGCCATACGTCTTACTGAAATACAAAAAAAAAATACAATTTCATAATTCACACATCCAGACATTGGAACTTTTGTCTGTAGTATGTTCCAAAACCAGTCGAAATCGACTGTCCCAAACATGGTTCTTCGTATCATTTTTTGCAGATCTAGTGTTTTCATTTGGGTCACTTAATAAGTATTGTTTTATAACACTGTAGCCCATGTCAAAGCAATATCACTGAGGGGACCAGAAATGCCTTCTCACAGTTTTTGTTTCTTAGCTTGCTGCCACTCGGGGCTCGAAATTAACACTTTGAGTTAGCAAATTTTTCCTATTCTAAATACTATTTTGCTACCTGGAAACAACTCGCTACCTGGTATTTTTCAGTGAAACTGTTTACGTTAATTAATTAATGGTCATTTTCAAAGGATAGATCTCCACTTGTGCACTTTCACTTGTAAACTTACCGATACTGGTATTTAAATTTCCCATAAAATGCTCATCGGAGCTTTTATTGGTCACTAACACATGGGTTTCACATGCAGGCCCACAGACTTTAAGAGAATTTGATCCTAGACCAGTAGTGACCAGGTGGTGGTTGAGTGGAGAGAGGGCCAGTTGTACAAAACAACCTTAGCGCTAAGGCTACCTTAAGTCTACGTTAAGGTGTGGGAGTTACGGTCACTTTAGCGCTAACATCGCTTTGTACAACAGCACCCTGGAGACCAAATACAGTTCTGTATGGTTAAAGACAGTAATATGGGACTGGGAACGGACTGGGAGGGATGGAGGGATTAACAGCAATATGAAAGAAAGCTGTTACCAGGTAAGGGATTTTGCTACCTATTTTTGAACCAGGTAGCAAGTTCTTGCTACTTTCTAAAAAAGTTAATTTCGAAAACTGGCAACACTCAGCCATATTCCAGCCATATGATGATAGTCTGGAAATAACTGATTCTGGACCAGACAATCCAATGACTGACATCATGAACATTGATCTATGCAATTAGGACATGATGACGTTTCAACCAAGTCAGAGTACCTGACCACCTGATCCCATTAATCACCTTTCACGCCAAGCATGGGTCACTCAAGATCAAACCTAACTGGATCTTCACAGATATCTCATGGTGTACCCTTTTAGGTAATGGGACCCAAGCCTTCAGCATAACGAATGAACACTTTGAGCATTAGGTTACCCATAAGCCCTCCTATTTTGATATGGATTATTTATAAGCTGAGCTAACTAGACCCAACAGTTTTTTCCAGACTTCATGACTGTGTCCGAGTATCCATATCATAAAAGGGGCATTGATCTAAAGCAAAACACCCGGGACTGGTTGCTGCTTTTATTATAGTCTCTTTTTTTATCTGTGGGTACTTGGATGACATCCCATAATTCTTACCAGGTTTGTGACTTCAACAACTTATTGTTATGTGTTCATTAGGTTGAAGAAATTCATCAACATGCATGCAATGTGTCCTCAGTTTCGCTGACTTGGTTGACACATGTCATCGGTTCCCAATTGCGCAGATTGATGCTCATGCTGTTGATCACTGGATTGTCTGGTCCAGACTCGATTATTTACAGACCGCCGCCATATAGCTGGGATATTGCTTAGTGCGGCTTAAAACTAAACTCACTCACTCAGTGTAAGACTTTCAGGTATAAACTATAGATCAGTCATCAGTGCCCCTATAATTAATGTAAGATCGGGTTTGATGACTTCAAGGGCAAAAAAAAATATATATCCATTTCCGGTAACCTGATCGACCCTATCCTAACCCACACCAACCCTAAATCTCTTTTTAACCAAATCAAATCATGACTGGAGTGCATTTCAACTCATCATTTTCATCGAAATCGAGTACTGATATGTTTTTCAGTGTATGAAGGGCTAAAATGGATTGCATTGAATTGGCATAATGGGCTATCACTGACAAAATCTGAAAATAAATAACATAAATAATGAAATAATGATTTGATATAGAAATCTATCAATATTTCATCACAAGGCATTGTAACAACATGATATGGTATTCTTGAAGACATTCTTGAAGACATTCCAAGGTGCCTACCTGGTGTTACTACAGAAAAAAAAGATTAAAAAGGGATAAAACCGACCCATCAACCCTATTTTTAAAAAGAATGTAATAGGAAGCGGACATATATTTTTTTTGGCCCAATCAGTCTTGCTTTGAAAGCCAATTGGTCCATGCATATAACTCTAGCACATATGGTTCATGTGGGGTTTTTTTCAGACTGTCAAAACCCAATCTTTTGCACATGATTGGTGAGTGAGTGAGAGAGTGAGTAAGTGAGTGAGTTTAGTTTTACGCTGCTTTTAGCAATATTCCAGCAACATCACGGCAGGGGACACCAGAAATGGGCTTCACACATTGTACCCATGTCATCGGCGTGACAAGTGAACGCTTTAACCACTAGCCTACCCCACCACCCCAAAAATCTAAAAAAATGTCATGAAGGATTCAACAAAACTGATAGCAATGGATGGAAATTGCAACATTTCTTAGATTACCTTGATGCATATAAATTTTAACAAATATATCAAGCTGAAGATATATTGTGAGTGGCATCTGCTGAGCAGGTTTAAAAGAGGCGTGTAAATAAAGTGGTCCTTGTAGTTTTAACTAGTTCGATCAGTGTTTCCCTCAATTCACAAACATCAAATTACATATTTAAAAATGGGGTTTGGTAAATTTGGTTTTACACCGCTTCTAGCAATATTCCTGCACAATCATGACGGCACAACCATGACTTATCACTGCCATGTTACATCTGCATGGGTTAAGCAGCTATGATCGAATGGCCTGGTATTAAGTGGGGACCTAGTGGTAACGATTGGAAAATCGTTTTTTTCTAGTTCGCCCCTCGTTTAAATTTGTAGCTTCATTATGTCTTGGTTGTCACTTATAATATTCAAACAATTCCCATTTCACTGGCACTGCTGAGGATTCATGCAAGAAAGCAATCGATCTACTAACACCCGTTCTGTAAACAAACCTTTTAAAAACCAAGACATCCTGATATTTTGACTTTTCATGGAAAAGGACTTTCTCCACTTGAAGAGACATGCATTGTCCGGGCCACAGCTCGCTCAGTTCGCTAAACCATCCGTCTTTTAAATGATCCATATGTGAAGCGTGGATTGTTCCAAATATTGGCCTCGTGGTTCACACAGGAAAAACACGTGTGTAAGAAACAGAGTTACTTCCCTTTGTTATAGCTTTTCGTTAGCTCCTCCCCAGCGCGTAACACTTTCGTACCATTTTAAATATAGAGAGCTCAGAGGGCTATCGCTGCGAGGAGCTGAACTCTCTTCACGAATGCTGCCCGCGTTTTAGCTTCGTTCGACTAACTGACTGACTTTGGTTTTACGCCGCTTTTAGGAATATTCCAGCAACATCACGGCGGGGGACACCAGAAATGGGCTTCACACATTGTGCCCATGTGGGGATTCGAACCCGGGTCTACGTACGGCGTGACGAGCCAACGCTTTAACCATTAGGCTACCCCACCGCCCCTTAGCTTCGTTCGAACTTCAAGCGACCCGTGAAGGTCCCGGTTAAAAATGGCCTTCACCAACCCATGCGTGTCGTAAGAGGTGACTAACAGGATTGGGTGGTCAGGCTCGCAGACTTGGTTGAGTCCATATATACCGGCATATGGTCTCTAGTTGACACATAACATCGTATCTCGCGTAGGTCGATCGATGCTCTTGCTGTTGGTCACTGGATTGTCTGGACCCTGTAGCAGGGTAAGGGGTGGTACTGTTCAATGAAGACCAACACGTGCTGGGGTGTGAGTTGTGACTTGTGCGACTTCTTTATTTCTCAAATATATAGTTTGTTTTGTTTTCACCCTGTAACATAATAACAATAATCAATAAAACAGTCATATCACATATGTACTAATATAGTAGATTACACATAAAAGTTACAATTACTGTTAATGGTCATATATACCTATCACAATATATTCATTGTAATACAAATTACTTGAACTGCATCCATTCCAAGAAAGTAATAAACATAAGTAATAAACACATGCAGTTCACAAAAAGGTATTATATGGATTAATTGCAGCAGCGAAATATCACAATATCTAGGGAACACATATCTGTGGCAATGATATATACATGAAATATAAACACATTAAAAGGATAAAATACCTAACAAATATATCGTACTCTGTGATATTACATTGTCCACCTTAGTGAAACAGCATGTTCATCTAAAAGTGATATAACACACAATTAAGTATATTATGCTAACCTATTATTATATCATAATGAAACATATATCACTCTTTACTACTTAATAAACATATACATATACCTTACAGCACAACATTATGTGTACTGTGATATTCTTATAAACATATACAATGAACAATTGTTAAAATGATATGATATCTCAAGTGGCACAAACATTACATGTACCACCAACAAGTGTAAAACATAGCCGACAAAGATGGCCGCCAAGCAGGCAGACATGCTTGTTTGTCACCTGACCTCATAAATATTACAATTATTACTAATAAACTTATAATGAAAATGCTGATGCAGTAAACATTAAAATCATGCCTATAAACACACAGTATTTGACTTACAATATATTCTTAAAACACATTCATACCTTCACATCAAACATTAAATATTATAACCAAAGCAAGAATAATGTTTATGATATAACTATAGTTAACAAATATCACATCCTACATAATGTTTATAATTAAGTTAACTAACCTTGAACAGACAGAAGTTGTAGACGACAAAAGGAGCGGAAATCAGACGGCTGTCAAATTGTCATGTCATATGTTTGAGGTGCCTTTCTTGTGTGGCTGTATGTGGTAGACTGACTAAAATGTGCTGATGTTAGTAAAGACGAAAACATACAACATAAAACTGACCAATCAGAGATCAAGGAATAGCTTGCCCTCTGAGTTAAGAACAATAGAACACCCTGCTCTCCCACAATAATACAATAGGAGCCCAGGTCCAGCTTTGGGTAATCAAGCTGGAGACAAATACCAAACATACTCTAATAAAAACCTAATCCAATAAAACTACCACAACCAAACTGTTTAAAAATGATACCGTATTTACACAAATAAATAAAAAAAATGTCAAAAATGACACTGCCACATGGTCCAGATTTGAATATTTGAAAACCGCCACCAAAGAGCTGGAATATTGAGTGTGGCGTTAACTCTTTCCATCCGACGCTGATTTTTCACAGCTGCACGTCCGTGAAATCACCTCAATGCATGATCTGTAAACTATGGAATACTGTAAGGGACATTCTCGCGATCTCGCATTCTCGCGATCTCGACCTTTGGAAACAAGCTAAAAATGCCAGAATGCGAGAACGCGAGATTTGGCCAAAATCTCGCGTTCTCGCGATCTCGCATTCTCGTGTTCTTGGTACATAGCACTTTTTGTCAAAAGTCGAGATCGCGAGAATGCGAGATCGCGAGAATGTCCCTTATGTTGTAGACAGGGGGGTATAGTCCTAAAATGACGTCATCATCGAACACCTGGCTGACCTCATTTCACAGGGGTGTCAATGACCTTGTACTGACTTGACCTTGGGATAAACCACTTTCCCAGGGGTATTTTTAGACTCAAGTGGGCAATATAAGGCCACCGAACAGTCCCCATGTCATTCAGTCGACAGAGAGAACACACGCATGCTCTTGACTCTATTGGTTCTGGTAGCCGTCTACCTCGAAGATAGAAAATGGAAGCCGCTCACCGTGATATCCTGAGGAGGAATCGTTGTGATCTAGTGCAAGCTATACAGTGTGTAGAAGAGGTGGTGGACAAACTGGTACAGTTTGAAGTCCTTACCATCCTCATGAAGGCAGAGATTATCGAAAAACCACGGACGTCCTTCGATCGGGTCAGAGAACTGTTAGATATGTTACCTAGACGGGGACCCCAAGCTTACTCTCTCTTCTGCAAAGCGTTGATGGAATGTAGGGAGACACAAGCCATGGCATTGTTGGGGCTAGAGACTGACAAGCAGATGACAGAACTACAGAATCCCCGTTGTCATTTACATCTGGGGGACAACGTCTTTGTGACGGCCAAGACATGGGATGGTGTACTGAACATTCATGTGAGGAAGTACGAAGTGTACCCGAGTGGCAAGGCCTACCCAACCAAGCGAGGCATCGTGCTTACCTTGAAACACTGGTTAGAAATACCAAGTGTATTCATACAGTTGATGGAAGCTGTCAGGAAGGAAGAAATCAAGCCTATGTTCACATAGGGGTTAACGTGTATGCCAGTTTGGATCCAAATGGTAGCGTGGATCTACGACAGTGGGAGAAAAATGATCAACTGGGAGTGGTACCTACGGCTAAGGGTATCATGTTGTCTCCAGACCAGTGGAAGAAATTGAGAGACTGTTATGATGTCATGCCAGACTTTGTGCCGGAACTAAAGGACATGGTTCCCTGTATGGCACAAGAAGATCACCAGAATCAAATGGGGTACCTCCAGTGTTCCTTCTGCAACCCTAATGACTATGAATGTTGGAGTAACTGACTATTCTTCTATGGTTACAAGTCACCATTCAGCAACTTTTATCCAGCTGTGTTTACTTTGGATGGTGTTACATTTAATTGTGTGGAACAGTGTTACATGTACTCTAAAGCATTGTACTTTGGAGATTTGGACAGGGCAACATGTATTTTCCAAGAGACTTCGCCAGCAAAGCAAAAGCATCTTGGGAGATGTGTGAAAGGCTTCACCCAGAAAGCGTGGGACACTGTCTGTGTTAATGTGATGACTAAGGCTGTAATGGCTAAATTCTCCCAGAACAGTCACTTGAAACATGTATTGATTCAATCCTACCCTAAGCCGTTAGCTGAAGCTAGCCCATTTGATAAAAGATGGGGAATAGGAATTGATGTATCCCATCCTGATATTGACAAACCCTGGAAATGGCCGGGGGAAAACAAGTTGGGAAAAACGTTAATGCACGTTCGTGAAAAGTTGATGATGTGAATATTGTCTTTTGTGAATAAAATATTGCATTGTACTTTTGTCTTGGGTTTTGCTTAAATAGCATGATGCATGTGAGTCATGTACAGTTGTGTTTAAGATGGCACCTTGGGAAGACTACTTGAACAGGATCTATTATGATCCAGAACATCCTGGTAGTTATGCTGCACCCAAGAAATTGTACGATGCCGTGAAAGCAGAGGGTCAGTTTAAAATTGGTTTACATCGAATCAAGAAATGGCTCAAAGGTCAGGAGAACTATACCATGACTCATCAAGTCAGAAGAACGTTTCCAAGAGGGCACTATGTGGTGGAAGGTATAGACAGTCATTGGCAGTCCGATCTCATGGACATGGTTTCACTAGCAAAGTACAATGATGGGGTCAAATACCTCTTAGTCATCATAGATCTATTTTCACGTTATTTGTGGGTACCAACTTATGGAAAACCAACACCCGAAAACCTCAACTTTTTCAATCTGACATGGGTTCAGAATTTAAGAATCGGTGGGTAAAAGCCTTTTTGGAAAAACACAAGATAACCCAACTATTTACACTGAATGAAACCAAGGCTCCTTATGCTGAGAGAGTGATTAAAACCATTAAAATGAGACTGTACCGATACATGTTGAAACACTTTAAATACAGATATGTGGATATCTTACCAGATGTAGTCAAGAGTTACAACCATACCAAACACAGAATGTTAGGACAGTCTCCTGCGAGTGTGACTGAGAAAAATGAAAATGAAGTGAGACTCTCTCAGTATTTGATTAAACCCTCCAAAATGAAACAGAGTAAAAAGAAGTTCACCTTCAAGGTGGGTGATAAAGTCAGAGTGAGTCATCTGAAGAGAACGTTTGACAGAGAGTATCAAGAGAAATGGTCTGGCGAAATCTTTACAGTAAGAAGAAGATACTGGTCACAAGACAATGACATGTACAAGCTGAAAGATTGGGGTGGCGATCCCATCGAAGGTGCTTTTTATTCATCAGAGCTCCAAGCAGTGGTAGAAAACCCTGATCAGGTGTATAGAATTCAAGACATTGTCAAAAAGAGGACCAGAAATAAACAAAAAGAAGTCTTAGTGAAATGGCTTCATTGGCCGAAAAAGTACAATAGTTGGAT